GAATATACAAGCAAAATATTAAAGTTAGTAAGAGAATTTAGCAAGATTAAGAATGCTATGTAGAGATAGCTATAACTTACCAAGAAATAGGAAATTATGTTAAAAACCAGCAATAACAAAAACAAAGACTCAGAGAATGTTCCTAAAAAAAAATATAATGAAAGACCTGCCTATGACAGACACATAAAGGTAATATGTTGGACTTAACAGAATCTTAGGATAGATTTGTTGATGAGGGAGACAACAGATTCCAGAAATAGATTTCTACATTTATGGAAACTTGCAAGAGTTGACATGGTAGATCACTAAGGAAAAGAAGGACTATCCAATAGGTGGCTTAAGATAGTTGTTTATTAGTAATGCATAATGTGTTTATTTTTGTTGGATTTTTTAAAATGTTTTTACCTCATTGCCATCAAGTTAAGGCCAACTGTAGTGACCCTTGAGGACAGAGTGGGGTTGCCCTATAGGGATTCCAAGGCAGTAATTCTTTATAGAAATGGACTGTCATGCTTGGGAGGGTGGAGGGACGGCACAGGAGGGGAAAGACCTCTATGAGGTGGATTGATTCAGTGACTGGGGTAATCGAGATGGGAGTGTCAGAGACAGTGCGATTGGCACAGGACAGAGCAGAGTTTAGAGCTATTGTATATAGGGTCGCTATGAGTCGCAAGCAACTCGATGGCACATAACAACAACAACTCATAGCAGTTGATGGGTTGCAAATCCCAACCTTTTGATCAGCAACCAAGATCTTTGACACCACACCACCTGTAACTCACATCATACAAAAAGGACTGAAATGCGAGACCATGGCTTTGTTTAAAAAGAATCAAAACTGATAGAGGGTTTATTCAATATGCCTATCAAAACTCATTGCCACTGAGTTAGAACCACCTCCTAGCTAACCCTCCAGTTGGAATCTGAGACAAAACTGAGATTGTTAACAGCTTTAGTTTGCTTGGCTCCACAATCAGCAGCCAGGAAATCTAAAGATTAATTGCTTTGGGAAAGTCTGCTCTCAGGGACATCACCATAGTACTGAAGAGTAATTATGTCAGTCTGGAGACTAAGGTGCACTTCCGTCCAGACCATGGTTTTCACAATTAGATACAATACATCAAAAAGCTGGATAATGAATTGATGCCTTTGAGCTGTGATTCCAGAGAAAAGTATTGAATATACCATAGACTGCTAGGAGAACAAACAGGTTCATCCTGGAGAGGGTGAAAACAGGCTGCTCCTGAAGGCAAGGATTCTGAGGCTCCATCTGACATACTTTGGGCCTCTTGGAGAGGAACATTATGCTTGGGAGGGTGGAGGGACAGCGCAAGAGAGGAAGACCGTCTATGAGATGGATTGACTCAGTGACTGGGATAATGGAGATAGGTGTGTCCCAGACAATAAGGTTGGCTCAGGATAAAGCTATTGTACATAGATAATTACTATGAGTCACAGGTGACTTGACGGCTCATAACGACAATACCAACAAATCACATAGAACAAGATTACCTGTCTTCTTCTGCAGAGCCACTGGTGGATTTGAACCTCAAGAGAGACATGACCTTTGTGTTAACAGTGCAACTCTTTATGCAGAACACCACAGTTTGAGTTTAGAAAAAGAAAATGGATCAAGAAAGGTGCAATCAAGCTTATAAGAACAAGAGGAATGAGAAATACAGATTTGGTATAGTAACATATAATGCAGTTCTTTGAACTGTTGCCTTTGTTACTTTCACCATAGGGTTGGCTCAAACTTAAGTTTATCATTGAGTCAGTTGTGACTTACAGCAACCTTCCATCAAGTTTGGGTAGGACTTTGTAAATATGAAGTGTTGGTAACCTACCAAGGAGACTTAACTTGCTAATAATGTAAATAAGGTAAATGACACCTTTTGGATAGATGTAAGTAAGATGTGTAGAAAGCGAACATAAAGACTGATCGCTTTTGCCATCTTACCAGGCTTAAAATTGAGCTCACCCAGAGATAGAAAATGGGAGCCTCATTACCATCAAGAAAAAAGAATGCGAGTCCAGTACGTCTTTTGGACCTGAGATCTCTGTGCCCAGAGATAGAACTATAACAACTGTAACATAGGAGAGACAGTGTAAGACAATAGGAGACAGCAGCAAAGGAGTTGGCAGCTTTAGTGATAAAGAACCAGAGACCTTGTGAAACAGAGCCCAGTGCCTTCAGAGTGTGTTTACTTACCTCTCTGGGTTTGGCACGGAGCTCTGGCGGCATAATGGTAAGGAGCTTATCCAACTCAAAGGCAAGTGCATTCAATCCACTAGTGACTCCATGGGAGAAAGGTAAGCAGTCTCCTCCTGAGTGATTTACAGCCTCTGAAAACCTGCTGGAGGATCAGCTATGAGTCAGTTCCAACTTGACAGCATACAACAACTACATTCACAACATCTAGGCTCTGTTTCTCACTTCCTTTTGGCTCCTCTGGATAGCTTTGCTTTGTTTCAGTTAAGGAGGCTATACTTTTAAGATAATGTTTGTCATTTTTAATCTAGCTTTTTCCTGGTATTTTTCAGGAAATCTGAGAAATATAACCAGTGTGTATCCACTGCCAAAGTCATGATACAGCACAGTACTTTCACCCTCTAATTTCCTGCATGCTTTTCATTTGATATCAGCCCCTTACTCTACTTCTGGAAACTTATGACCTGTTTCCCATCTCTGTCATTTTCCTATGCTTTCTTCTGTGCTTTGACCATACTATGACATTTCACTATGTGGATAATAATGAGTTATGAATAGCGTTAAAATAAACAAAAATTCCAGAACATGTTACTGTGCTCATATAGAGCTATATACAGACCCAAGCTGCAGTTTTTAAAGCAAAACAGGGGAGTATGCATGCTTAAAAATCAGGAAAGCTGTATGTTAGGGTCCCAGAGAGACACCATTGCTCTTCAGTACTTTGGAGAGGTCCCTAACAGCAGACTTTCCCATCACAATATGTCTTTTAATTTCCTGGCTACTGGTGCCAAGAGTGTTGATTGTGGAGCCAAGCAAACTAAAGCTGTGAACAATCTCAATCTCTTCACCATCCATCCTGATGCTGCCAATTGGCCCAGTGGTGAGAATCTTTGTCTTCATGACATTGAGCCTCAATCCATATTGGAGGCTGCAGTCCTTGACCCTCTGCAGCAAGCATTTCCGGTCCTCCTCAGTTTCAGCAAGCAGGGTTGTGTCATCTGCATATCACAGATTGTTGATAGATCTTACAATAGTACAATATTGTGAGTGACAGGATAAGATTCATATGCATACAAGGAAGGCCAGTGAATACCACTATCATTTAGATATATGCACCAACAACCAGAGCCAAGGAAGAAGAAATAGAAGATTTTTACCAGCTTATACAGTCGGAGATCGATCGAACATGCTATCAAGATACATTGATAGGTGAGCTCTGGTGGCCTAGTGGCAGGAGACTGCACTGCAATCCCAGAGGTGCGTGGTTCAAATCCACCAGATGCTCTGCTGAAGAAGGAGGAACAATCACCTCCTGTACCAGTCAGATCCAATTTGATGGTACACACATAAAAAGAATAAATAAATAAAAATTTTAATAAAAGATGCATTGATAATAATGGGTGACTGGAATGCAAAAGTTGGGAACAGAGAAGATTCAGTAGTTGGAAAACATGGACTCGGTGACAGAAAGGGAGCTGGAGAGAGGATGATTGAATTTTGCACAATGACTTATTCATTGTAAATACATTTTTAAAGAGACATAAATGCAGGTTATATACATGGATTTTACCTGATGGTATGCATAGGAATCAGACTGATTACATCTGCGGAAGAACCGTTGGAGAAGCTCAATATCAGTTCTTAAAACTAAGCCAGGAGCTGATGGTGGAACAGACCACCAACTACTCATATGCAAGTTCAAGCTGAAGCTGAGGAAAATTAAACCAAGTCCACGGGAACCAAAATATGACTTTGAGTCTATCCCTCCTGAATTTCAGAACCATCTCAGGAACAGGCTTGAGGCCTTGAACACTAAATGAGTGAAGACCAGATGAGTTGTGGCAGGATATCAAGGATAACATCCAGGAAGAGTGCAAACGGTGGAAACATTCTTAGAAATCAACTGCGTGAGTCTTGACTGTCTTGTGGGTGTTTGTATAAAAGAGAAAAATACAGTAAGTGTGGAATAGAAAACTGGGCTGGTATTTTATGAGTATGTCTCTCTCCCCAGCTCCTAGTTATAGATAGATTGCTTGCTTTCTCTAGTGACTTTGGGTTAGCAGCACAACTCCTTACTAAGACAGGATGTTGGAATCTAATATTGGCTCCATGAGAGAGAGAGATGGGCAGTCTCTTTTCATGCAGTTTATAGCTTCTGAACAATCCTGCTGGATGGTCACCTGAGTCAGTTCCAACTTGCACAGGGGCCATGCTAATCTTCTCAGTATTGTTCCAATTTTAAAGATATGTGCTGCTAAACCTAGCATGAAGCTAAGGAACTTGTGTGTCAAAGGAAGTTAATCACATGGGAGGAGATTGCCCATCCTTCCCTTACTGAGATTACTGATGGATTTGGTGCCTTTGAGATTGCAGTGCAGCTTCTTACCACTAGGCCAGTATGAGAAAAGCAATAACAACAACTTATATATGATGGATTTTTATTTTAAAAACACTGAAATAAACCATCATTTATATACGATGGGTATCATTGTCCTATTATCACTATTTTCTGCATGAGACATTCTTTTCTAATTAAAATGATATCTAATGTATTTGGTTTTCTCTTCTCTTTCAGACTTCCATTCAAGGTATGCAAGTAAGGACTTCTCTCTAGGAAAGGGCATCTATGAAACACAATTATCCCAATGGGAAATAACTAATAAACTTAAAATCTGTGATCTTAAGGAGTACACTTTTTGATATTCTATGGAAGTTAAAAGCACATTAGAGAGACAATAAGAAAACCAAGAGGATTATATCAGGGAAGGGATGATTGCATATGAAAAAAATGTCTCTTTTCAGTCAGCAGACTTACTTATTTCAACATCCAAGATGTCATTCTACTGAGAAACCCTATAAATGTAAGGAATGTGGAAAGGCCTTTAGACGAGCTTCACACCTTACTCAGCATCAGAGTATTCATACTGGGGAAAAACCTTACAAATGTGAACAGTGTGGTAAAGCCTTTAGTCGTGATTCCCAGCTCAGTCTTCATCAGAGACTTCATACTGGTGAGAAACCCTATGCATGCAAGGAATGTGGAAAGGCCTTTACACAGAGTTCACAACTTATTTTACATCATAGAATTCATACTGGTGAAAAACCATATAAATGTGAAGAATGTGGGAAAGCCTTTATTCGTAGCTCCCAACTCAATCGACATCAAAAGGTCCATACTGGTGAGAAACCTTATGAATGTAAAGAGTGTGGGAAAGCCTTTACTCAGAATTCACAACTTACTCTTCACCAGAGACTTCATACAGGTGAAAAGCTCTTTGAATGTAAAGAATGTAGAAAGGTCTTTATTCAGCTCTCTCAACTTACTCTACATAAGAGAATCCATACCGGTGAGAAACCCTATGAATGCAAAGAATGTGGGAAAGCCTTTATTTGTGGTTCACAACTTTCTCAACATCAGAAAATTCATAATGGGGTAAAACCATATGAATGTAATGAGTGTGGAAAGGCCTTCATTCGGGGCTCATTACTTATGCAACATCAGAGGATTCATACCGGTGAAAAACCCTATAAATGTGAAGAATGTGGGAAAGCTTTTATCCGTGGTTCACAGCTTACTCAGCACCTGAGAATCCATACCAATGAGAAGCCTTATGAATGTAAGGAATGTGAGAAAACCTTTAGCCATGGCTCCCAACTTACTCAACATCAGAGAATTCACACTGGTGAGAAACCTTATCAGTGTAAGGAATGTGGAAAGGCCTTTAATCGTGGCTCACTTCTTACTCGTCATCAGAGAATTCACACTGGTGAAAAACCCTATGAATGTAAGGAATGTGGAAAGACCTTTAGTCGTGGCTCAGAACTTACTCAGCATGAGAGAATCCATACTGGTGAAAAACCATATGAATGTAAGGAATGTGGAAAATCTTTCATTCGTGGCTCACAGCTTACTCAACATCAGAGAATTCATACTGGTGAGAAGCCTTATGAATGTAAAGAATGTAGAATGGCCTTTACTCAGAGTTCACACCTTTCTCAACACCAGAGACTTCATACTGGGGAAAAACCTTATATATGTGCTGAATGTGGGAAAGCTTTTGCTCGTGGTTTATTGCTTATACAACATCAGAGAATCCATACTGGTGAGAAGCCATACCAGTGTAAGGATTGTGGGAAAGCCTTTGTTCGTGGCTCACAACTTACTCAACATCAACGAATTCACAGTGGAGAAAAACCCTATGAGTGCAAAGAGTGTGGAAAGGCTTTTAGTCACAGCTCCCAACTAACTCTACATCAGAGAATTCATACTGGTGAGAAGCCCTATGAGTGCAAAGAATGTGGAAAGGCCTTTACTCAGAGCGCCCATCTTTCTCGACATCAGAGAATTCATACTAGTGAAAAACTATATCAATGCAAGCAATGTGGGAAAGCCTTTACTCGTGGCTCACAACTAACTCAACATCAGAGGCATCACATCAGTGAGAAATCTTTTTAATATAAGTAATGTGATATGAACTTTAATCATGGCTCACAAGTTTATATATGAGTTGTCTCCGTTTAGAAAATCTTTTGTGATCACTCATTATTATTAAAGAATTCTTTAAAATGAATATCAGAGTACATTTGCTTCATACAGCTCAGCATCGGAGGTTTTCATATGGAAGAAAAAGAATGTTAATGTGTTCCATGTTGAAAACCTTTTATCATTATGTTGTTGTTGCTGTTGTTGTTGTTGTTATGTGCCGTCGAGTCGCCTGCGACTCATAGCGACCCTATGTACAACAGCCCTAAACTCCGCTCTGT